AGGATGAAGACAGGAGAAGGCTGTGCTCAGAATCCTGGATCAAAATCGCAGTGCCTATCCGTGCGTGTATACGTACATGTGTGTGTATTTGTGTTGATGTGCTTGTCGTTGCTTGTGTGTGTTTGTGAGCCTTGCTTAGCAAATTCATTGATTGCCGAGAAGGGTACTTGAAGTATGGTTTTGTCAATGGCTAAATTCGGCGCCTTGGCACAAGTGCTTGTTATAAGTGCCAGCAGCTGATCATGGACCTGAAGAGATGTGGGGAAGACACATTGTACACCATAGACCTAACATGCAGAGCGGAAAGCATGCAGTATGAGAGAGAGAGAGAGTGAGTGAGAGAGAGAGGGATAGAGAGAGAGGGATAGAGAGAGAGAGAGTTTAATGTTTGTTAAAAACGAACAGAGAGAAAGAAAGGACGTCCGCACATTAGTGACACTACTCAGGATCAATAAAACATTAACCCTACTCGTGCACGTAGAACTCAATCTCATAAAGTATATGCTGAGCCCTACATGTATACGTACGTCGGTACTCAATCTCTTCATTCGAATTAGACCAAAATACTTGCAAGCAATATGATCTGCATGTGCATTGGAAGATGCGGAGATCATTATATTCAATTAGGCCGTTGAGTGCAACTAATGAGGCGACATCTCCATCAGCACCCATTCAGACACTGGGCACGGTGTCGGTAAAAACGTCCATCACAAGTTTGCTATATGCCCTGCAGGCATTTCACCCACATGCAATACATATGTCATGTAGCTAACAAATCAAGCCCTCTCTCTGCAGCTAGCATGCAACGCTACTCGGGATAACCCTATTACCATCATTAGATACCCATAGCAGACCGTCGGCGCACATTTGTAACAATCCACACGGTGGTCGGTGAAGGCACACGCAGTTCTGGCCACAGAGATCCGACAGCATGAATAATAATAATTATTATTATCAAAGACAGTTTAAGGATCTTCAAAATCAGTGAAGTAGAACCAAAGTTATGTTGGAAATTGAGTGCGCATTTTCGTGTCTGCCACAAATTCTGAGCCGGTAGCAAAAAGGTTATGGACTCCAAAGGGTTAAGTAGCGTGGTGGTCTAGAGCACAGTGTGGTGTGGTGTGTGTGCGTGTGTGTGTGTGTGTGGTGCTACTGCTAGGGCCGCGTAGCTCCTTGGTGATAATGCTCCTGAGGTCGGATTTCTCTTGCCAGGACTCTACGTAACACACACCTTTGACCTTTGACGCCCATCGCCGGAGGCGATGATAGCAGTGCTACGGCAGAAGCCATAGCAACTTGTGCTGGGATTGCACCATTCAACAGCTTGCAAGGCGTAACACACACACACACACACGCACACACACACGCACACACACACACCATAACAAACTTGAAGTAGATTCGGTTACTGTCTTGTTGGCTTACAGTGGAACAGACACTGAGAGAGAGATAGAGATAGAGAGAGATAGAGATAGAGAGAGAGAGAGAGAGAGAGAGAGAGAGAGAGAGAGAGAGAGAGAGAGAGAGAGAGAGAGAGAGAGAGAGAGAGAGAGAGAGAGAGAGAGAGAGAGAGAGAGAGAGAGAGAGAGAGAGAGAGAGAGAGAGAGAGAGATAGAGAGAGAGAGAGAGAGAGAGAGAGAGAGAGAGAGAGAGAGAGAGAGAGAGAGACTACAATGTGTTTCTGTAGTCATTGAAAGCATAGTGTCACATGCACTGGCCATTATGACAAGGACTGGATATAATGACATAGAGAGTTTGATCCTTGCCGAATAGGACTGCAAGGCGAGAGATTCAACTGGACTGGTGAAACGCAGGTGCTACGTCTGGGAACCCGAACAACTAGGAATAGTCACAGAGATAAGATACAATGCAGAACATGATGAAGTATTGCACGTCACTTAGTCCTGCAAGCACTTGGACAGTTTTCCGCAATCCAAAGGCTATGGTCAAGTCGACGTTTCAGCTTTCAGGGCAGGCTAAAGTTTTCAAGTGTCACGGATAGTGGTTCTAATTCACAGTAACACCCCAAGGGCATGGACCATGCGGCCAAGTACTAGTGGTTGTGTGCACTCACACACAAATTCACAATCACTGACACTGCACTACAATCTAACATTGCAAATACATGTACATCGGGTTGTATGGGATTACATTGTATTACTGGGCTATCAACGCCATTGCTGCTATTGACGTTAAAAAACAGAGCGAGCTCAAGTATCAGCCTTAGAAGGATCTAGGAGTGCATCAGTTTACGTCAAGTGCAAGTCAACGTAATGATTACAGCAGTGGTTGAAAATCCAGTGCGTGATTAGTTACAATGAGTCCAGTCAGAAGGTCAGACAGTAGCCTACTTTACTTTACTGGTAAGACGGGTCTATTCAAATAATACGACATGGAAAGAAGTAGCCTATTTTACTACTACCAATGGTATTCAGTAGGAAACGCTGACACACACAGCGTCAGTTTCGCAGTGCTTCACAAGTGCTGGCATTGGTACAGTAGGCTCTGCAGTCATTCTGGCTTGAGCAATATCGGCATAATGCCATTCCAGGGTCCAAGATAATCATAACCGTCGAGTGGACCGTGTCACACAGTGTCAACAAAACATAGACTGCATGCCAAAGTGGTTTGAACAGCAGTACTGACTACAGGTCTACACATGTCACTATGGCCTGTATGGGAGTATGGTCATAAACACCTGGACAGTTCAGTACACATGGTACAGGCACTGGTAACGTCAATGTAGCCTAGTATAGTAGTAATAGAAAATTTAATACCAGCTCAAAGATTCATGCATTCTGTAGTAAACAACATTACATGTTACGATGTAGCCTAGCCAGCCAGGATGCAAGAAGCACACCGATAAGACTGTTGTGTGTGTTTGTTGGAATCAGGCGTGACCTTTGTAAAGCACCCTGCATAGCGAAACTACAATGTCATGTACTGGCCTTGTTCACAGTTCAGTAATGCCAGCTGTGCTGTGCATAACCAGGTACCTGAGACTAGTGAGAGGCAGTGACATCACCAAAGCAGGATGTTGTGACAGTTCATGCACTGTACCGGTGAGTCCAACAATTGAAGATATTTTAATTTTCTCAGTCTTTGTGGCCGGACATGCAGTAGCACAATGCAATTAGACTAGCTTTGCAAAAAGAAAGAAAGAAAAAGGGGTGTTTCCTGTACCACCGGCTGATCCCACTTTGGTTGCTAGCTTGCTGGCGAAGCCAGCCAGTGCATGGTGTACAGGGCCTAGGTGGATGTGCGGAATGCCTGTGTAAGACCACTACTAGTGTACTGCACTTGCAAGTCAGTTGCAGTATATCCACACACACATTACCACAGGGCCGGAGGCAGCTTCCGCCGAGCGGCCGAAGGGCAATCTTTAAGGGGGTGTGGGGTCCTCCCCAGAATGGTTTTGGAATTTAGACGGCAAATCCTGCACCCTGGGCGACTCCCTGTACAAAATCATACATCGAAACTTTTTCTCCTGGGTTTTGGACGTTCCACGTGGACCGACTTTTTGGGAAGTTGGTACGGCCATGCCGTACCGGCCACACCAGTGGCGCCGGCCCTGTACCACCTTGCACGAGCAGGGAAGCAACAGTGACAACAACGTTGGAACGTTCTATTAGCACTGGTTACAGCTTCACACCAACCCTTAAAGTACATCAATAGCATGTTTGTGCTGTGCACGATTTCCATGGTGACACTGCATGGACACAGTAAGAGCACTCCCTGGTGTAAACAGTTGCCATGGCTATATTTTAGTTTTTCTATTTCCGCTAGTATGGCCGCACAGTATACTTTGTCTCGGGAGTGAGACATGGGGAAGTTGCCATACTGGGGTGTGAGCCCGCCTTTCGGCACCGGGAATACAGCTCACTGGGCTGGACTCTACTGCCCTGAGTGACGGTGACCCATACCTCGATCTCCAGACCCGCGTCATGGGGATTTTGCAGTCAGATGTGCGTCCGCTGGGGCCTGGAACCAGCAACAAGGCTCTCAGTTCTCAGGCAAGAGCAGTGCAGAATGTACTAATGGGGAGAGCTATACATTCTTTCTCAGTGAACAAAGTCCAACCCAAAATAGTTTAAATTATTGTAGCATAAATTCACAACTAACTACATGTTACATGTGTAGTTCCCTGTTGTTCCCTGTTGTTCCCTGTGGGAGCCCAGGGCAATATCCTGCTGGGTCCTGCTAAGACACAGTTCATTTTGTAAAAGCTTGTGTATTGGAAAAGACTTGGTCAGGTTAACTCAGCATGTTGGCTATTGACATATCAAGCACAATCAAGTCCGGACATCAAGAACACAAAGGCAGCAACATTTGATTTCAGCGGGTTGTCCTCAACTTGCAATCTTGTATTTGGGCTTATATTTGAAACTAAGCATGGAGTGTCCTGGTCAACCTTGCGTGCCACCCAGATCAACCAGACCCCATGCAGACAAATTCAAGAACGCACTCCCGACTTGTTTCAAGGTGATTCAAGGCAAAGGTCTGTCCCCTTGCGTGTCCCGCTATACATTTACCTCTATACTGTCCCGCTATATCTCTGTATTCTAGTGTGCCTACTTAAGTGTCCATACCAAGCATCTACAGGTATGACGCCTGGCAACTGAGCCCAAAGACGCCTTGAGCCATAACTGTTGACAGTAGCAAAGCTTAAAGACATCATAATGATAGTCGACTAACTCAACACACTGTGACTGGGTGTGATGCAGCCTAACACGCTAGTATTCCTACTGTAGGCCGTGTAGGTACAATAGCCAGAATTCCACAAATCATGTGGGTATATTTCAGGTGTTTTTGGCCAGCACCAGATAAGCAACGTGTCATTGCTAGAGTAGTGGACATTTGCCAGCCACCCCGCCACCCAAACACACACACACATATACACAAGTATGCAGACACGCACACACATACACACGCATACACATACACATACACGCACACGCACGCACACGTACACACCTATGGATACGGTACACTACCATTTTTCCCGCAGACAGAGCGTGTGGTGGCACACGGAAGCGATCTCGAAATGAGCACTTCAGAATTGACTTTCTCAATCTCCCATTAGAAGCCAGTGTCAGTTCTTGACATCAGCTACTAGCAGCCAGTCCTGCTGGAGTAACACTGCAGGAGAACACCTGGACAAGGAATAACAAAGGATCGTGCATGGAGAACTTAGAGTCAGTTAGGTCACACTGTTCTAAAATGAGGATTTCTTCTGCGTTCTACCACAGCAGTATGGGCAGCAGAATGCTTATGCCCAACACACGTACACACATACACACTCGTGCACACAAACACATACATGTAGACAGGCAATGCAGAATGCTAAGCAAAACCGCGTACGTGCATGCGAAAGAAACCGGAAGGCCCAGTCCACCACGGCAGTAGGCCAAGCCACCTGTTCTGACAGACATATGTACTGACACGCGTCACAACAACCCGAGCACCCGTCACATTCGTGAACAGGAGATGAAGCGGTGGATAGAGAAGACAAGGACTATTTTCAGAGAAAGACAACAGCCCAATAAGAAGACGATAGCCGAGTTCGGTTAGAAGGACAACATTCAAACGACAGTCCAAGTGTGATAAGACGATGCGTTCACAGATTGCAAAAGTGTAGCGACATCAGCAGAATGTTGTCAGAATTCAAAACGTGAACATTGGAGACAGGCCCACGTTTGAAAAGTGAAAGCAGAGGAATAGCGCTGCAAAGCAAAGGAGTGCAGATTGAACATGCTGAATGTAAGCGTACAGTACGACAATAGTGCTCTGGTGGTGGTGAGATGAAACGACACACATTACCCAACAGAATCTGGGGAGGGGGACGGGGAGGGGATACTGCTGCGTCCCATCAATTACGTGTACCGGATTTTCCGGAGCATAAGCCGCACTGGAGTATCAGCCGCAATCAGACTTTCGCCACGAATACAGAAAACTACCCTATTCATAAAGAAGAAAGGAGGGCCCAGGAACTACAAGTTACACTATATTGTCCACTAACACCACCAGTTACTAAACAATCAGCTCATGCGATAGCATTGCATGACACTGACCAACGGAACTGACCTTCTACACCTAACTGGCAATCACCTACAGCAAGATGTAGAACGTTAGTATCGTTGGTCAGTGTTGTGCAATGTTATCGCATGAGCTGATTGAAAAGTAACTGGTGGTACTAGTGGACATTATAGCGTTAAGCGGGATTCACAGAAGCTTTTTTGCGATGCGACACGCGATGCGACGTGATCTGCGACGGACGCGTGAGATGCGAACTTGCGAAATACCATTCACAGAAGAAGTCAGCGATGCGACAACGCCTTGCTGATTTGGCGCAAAGTTCAATGCAGGTGGGTACGTCACCACGGTATCCGCGTGGTTTGGTACAACTTGTACAAATTTATAGGCAACTCTTGAACCTTTGTACAACTTTGCTGTAGAAAAGGTCAAAATCGTACGCCAAATCGCTTGTCGCATCGCAAAAGTTGAGCCAAGCTCAACTTCTGCGATGGCCCAGTTGCGTGGGGTGTGAGATGGCTGCGATTTGGGGATTTCCCGGTTTCTCGGCTGTTGTATCGCGTGTCGCATCGCAAAATAGCTTCTGTGAGTCCCGCTTAACTTGTAGTTCCCTCGTCCTGAATTCTTCTTATAAATAATTAATACTCGGCTTTCCACCTCAGTCTAATTAACCTATTCATCACCGTAGTAACGTGATCATTGTAGTAAAAGTCGTACCGTGTATCGACTTTTTTGGTATGACTTCTTGGCGTCTAGAGTGCGGCTTATACTCCGGAAATTCCGGTACTGGCCGCTCTAAGTCCAATACTCTTCCTCTTCCATTGATCAGCCACAAGCCTACTAGGTCATGAGTGCCATTGCAGTCAGTCACAGCGAGTTGTGCACTCTACCAACAACAGGCAAGCAACAGCAGTACCATGCCATTGGCACTTGTCGTTCTAAATTTTTTTAATAATATTATATTCTAATCCCAGAGCAAGCAGGCGACACTAACCGATGCGAATGTGACCAATACAACAATGTACTGGTAAGGACAACAGGATAAGGTGACATAACACATGGAGTCAAGACAAACTGAGAACTTTCCGTCCCTGTCTATAAAGAGTCATTATTATTAATTTTATTAAAGATGCGCAGCAACGTATGTGTCTTACATGTTGAGGGATGTTTCCCTCTGGCTAGATAACCAGCAAGTACACTCTAACACTACTACGGTCAGGAATACAGCACTGCCTGTAGTGTATTCTGTAGCATCACACTTTGTTTAGTTACCAGTACAGCCACTCCACAGAAACATGCATGCCCATAACACCAGCTGTCAGCAATTGCTAATACATAGACCCTAAGGCAAAACAACTTCATCTCCATCTGCTACTGGATCACATGACCAGCATAGAGACATTTCTCCCTTACGTCTAATTCAATTACAATAAGCCAATACGAGGCAGTGAGAGAAGGCCAAGATGCTGTGCAGTTTGCTCAAGTTCATAGGTGCTATTCTAGGCATACTTCTACCACTTGCCGGCTAATGACCATAACACGGCATACCTTATATACAGTGTGCATGTATGTACATAGACCATGCAGTCATGTTGATTATACACACTCCCAACTTGCAGTACAGGTACCTGGCATATGTGTGTGTTTGTTTGTGTCTGTGTGTGTGTCTGTGCGTGTGTTTGTGTCTGTGTGTGTGTGTGTGTCTGTGTGTGTGTGTGTTTGCATGTGTGTCTGTCTGTTTTCGCGTGTGCATATGTGTGTGTAAATGTGTAACTCTATCTCTATGGTACATGGAGAATATTCCGTGTTTTCCGGAGTAGGTGCCGCGCTTTGAACACTCACAATCCACCCCCAAAAAGGGGAGTTCAGCTTATGGATCAAAAATACCGATGATAATAGGATAGATGTATGTATTTCGTGGCAAAAAAGGGGACTACGGCTTCAGTTATACTCCGCAAAATACGGCACTGCCAGTCCAGCACGTGTACACATACATGTATGCACACAAAGTTACACAAAGTCACAAACACATACACACACATACACACACATACACACATACACACACACACACACACACACACACACATACACACATACACACATACACGTACACACACATACATGTACATGTACATGTACATGTGCACCCCCCCCCCCATGCATATACATGTACCTGCATATACATGTACACACACACAAAACGGACGGCAGCGAACCTGAAACTTTCTCAGCGACCACCACATATGGAGAACAGCAAGTACTAGCAGGAACTCTTCTCAGTACTGGTGAACCCCCCACACCCGCATCCCACTAGCCCATGTACCATCCCCTGTACACCACTCACTACGTACCATTAGTCTATTACAAATATAAAACATAAACAGAGGCACTAGCAAACCTAGACTAGAGTGGTTTGAAGGCATCCGCAGGTTTTATGGCCTCAGAAAGATAACTTGTGACTACATCAACAAACCCCAACACACACACACAACAGCTTGCACCCATGTACATTATACACATCAGAGAGAGCCATGGACTATGGCTAGGTCAAGACAGGGATTCCCAAACAGCACAAACACACACACACACACACACACACACACATGTACACATTCACACAGCAAAGGACTTCCATAGATAAGGTATCCTGCTGTGCTTCCAACAATCAGCAACAAGTGCTTGTGTAAAGGATTGATCAGATCCTCCCTGCAGGCCCCTCACTGAGTAACTGACACGAATCTCTTCCATAAGCCACTGAATGTAAAGAATGATAAAGACGATTTCTCACACCCTCTTCCAGACCAGACCACAAGCACCTGCTACTTGATGAGGATTCTTTTGCTTTGGTCAGCTTTCAAGTTTGTCAGTGGATAAGACAGAGGGGAACAATAGCCCAAACACCACACATCAACACACTGGCAGTGACTACTTTCATCCTCCTGTCCTTGATAACCCTGTGCCAGTCTATGCTTATTTATCACCGCTCAATCACCCTTCAGATTCCTGTATTACTGGATAGCGACCTAGCCAGGTGTGGAGTTGATAAATAATGTTGCCAGATTCCATCCTATCGACTCTGCCTGAATAGGAAGTAAGAATGTGAAATTCTGACTGCAAATGTCAAGAATTAGGTAGATTGTGTCATTATCACACCATCACATTCACGCACACGCACGCACGCACACACACACACAAACATACACTGGCACATACAAGGGGGAGTCAGCCGGCTAGAAAAAGCCTTGTTCGATGTGCCTTCCATAGCTGATGTCTGCTGGCTGGAGTGGTTGAAGAGCAATGCCAAACATATCTTCAAACACACACATACACACACTCTGTTCACTCACCCAGTGACAGGCCTGACTGATACCAATAAAGAAAGAAGAAAGCACTTGCCCAAGTTTCGACATCACGAGCAAAAGGCCAGAACACTGGAGGAAATCACCATTATTCTGTTTCCGGAGAAAATCGCGATTCCGCGGCTGCGCTTTTTCTGCAAATTCGGCAATTTTTTCAACACTGCGTTTCCGTTAATTTCCCCGGGATTCTTTTCGTTTCGCTACACACCAGTGTTGGGTTGTGAGCCGTTAACATCACATACTGGTACTCCCACGTATATGTAGGGCGCTCTATAGGCATAGCATACTGTTTAGACATGGCACACACTCTTCTTTGATTAAAGATACTAGATACAAAGCAGTTTTCTAGCAGGCAGACCAGTATACTTGCCAATCCACTTGCAAATTTACCAAAAACTGTCGCAAATTCTTCGCAATTTTGCCGCGAATTTTGCCTATATTGACCCCAAATTGTGCCGCAAATGTTGAGCTTTTCTTCCGCAGTTTTCCCCGGAAGAGATTATCATTGTGACCCCAACACGTACCTTTCTCCCGTAACCTCCAGATAAGGCCGAATAGCAGCTGGCATGTGCTATCACTACAGGTGTGTCGAACTCAGTGTCCAGACAGCTAGGCGTTTCCACCTTGTTAGGTCTCATCAAGAGAGCTCAGAGTGACAGGGGTTTGAACTGATCGCAGTGATATCTGGTGGACAACAAAACATAATGTATGTTAATCGCCTCAGAACAACAAAGGCGGATTACTCGAACCGTGATTAACACAGCGAGCTTTTCACGTGGACATGCAACTTGATGCCAACCAGAACGAAATATCTACCTATCACGCACACATATACACGCATACACTCACACATACACTCACATACACACACTCCCACAAACACGCACAAAAATACATACACCCATAACGTTCCTCACACATGCACACACTCACACACTCACACTCACACACACACACACACACACACACACACACACACACACACACACACACAAAACACGCATACACACAAGCAAAAGGAACTTTCCTTCTCTTTCAGGAGACAAGAGAATAAGACTACATTCCCGAACACAATCCCTAAATTGAAGGCAACAACACTGAACCAAAGTGAAATGCTCATGACACCGAGCCGTAAATTTCCCTTGGCAGCGGACCAGTCAAGAAACTGGGTGTGCCTGTAGAACCATACACAAGCCCCTTCTCCATTTTCTACATAACATTGCATTCCTGTGGGTTATCAGTTACAGTGTTTCCTACATCAAAGTGCCTCTTCCTTCTCTCTTTCTGAACGTATGTCACTTCGATACCCCCCCCCCCTTCCTCCTTGTAACTAACTTAACCTGACTGAACTAGACGTAATAATTATTATCGAAGAACATTCTCGAATACCTGGGTGATGCACGAATTTTGATTGTGCTCACTTCCGTTAATCGTTTTTCTTTGTAATTTTCCATTCATTTTTTTGCTTTAATTAATATTTGCTTTGTTTTCCTAGCTTACTATTGCCATGGCTGGCTCAACGCCCTTGTCTCAGGGATTCTGTCCCTGCATTAGCTATGCTTGTCACATGCTATGAGATTGTGTCTAATAATAATAACCTAACAAACCACTGGCGAAGAGATGCGAAGTACACAAAAGACCCACAACACATAGCACTTCAAAGAGAAGAACCAGTAACCATGGTAACCAATCACCATGGTCGGAGAATGAAATGTAATGGAGTACTGTAAGACAACAAAATACGGCATATACTGTATTTTAAGTTTCGGCTATTCTCACCCTGGGCAGTTTTGGCCAAAATATTGTTTTGCAAGGTTCAGTGTGACAGTGTATCGGCAGCAGCTGTAAGGCGAGACCAAAATAAAATCCAGATTCCCGGGCAGGACCCATGTGAAATTGGTGCGGGCGGGCGAATTTTATATTTTATATTTTTTTCCTATGTATGTATGCATGCCATTCTGAACTTTTTTTACAGTATTTTCTGGTAATTTTTATTCATTCTTTTCACAGAAAACAGGTACGCGGTTTACTCCTTCAGTTTTCTGTATTTCGGCCAACGGTGGCCCTAATCTGTACATCAGGGAGTCGTATAAGCCCGGGTTTGTGTGACTCCCCCCCCCCCCCCTCCACATGCTGGCGCAGTTCTCTGGAATTCCCTCCATGCGGATATCCGAGGCGCCACCAAACTGGCCGCCTTCAAGTCAAGCGCTTTGCAACACATTCTTGCCTGCTTTTAGCTTTACGCCCATGTTTCCGTAGCTGTGCTGGAACTGCTCTATTTCGCCGCCACTATTTTACCATTAGCCATGTCTCCCCCTCCTCCATCCTACACAGTGGGTCCATTGTTATCAGGCATCTTCCTGTTTTGGTTTTCTCCACTATAAATAAAAGAATACTCCATGTCACAGACCTACTCACACGATCAGTACTGTATATGGACATGTATATGAACTGTTATTTTTTTTTAAAGAAATTGGCTTTGGCCAGAATTTGGTGCGGGAGGGCCCGGGAATCTCTATTTTTTTGGTCCCGCCTAAAGGCTGAAATTATAATGCGGCCGAAATGTGTTTTAGCCCTGAGGAGCCACTTCTCCATTTTCTACATAACATTGCATTCCTGTGGGTTATCAGTTACAGTGTTTCCTACATCAAAGTGCGCTGGAGGCGCACGGGGATAACATCTGCATTCATGATGAACTCAACTCATGCATGTAGCTGCATGTCCACAGAGCTCTAGCCAAAAGAGGGTAGGGGGCGCAGCGCATCCCCCCCCCCCCCCACACACTCTGATTGAGCGCCCCCTGTGCAAAAGTGATTGCCGTCCGCCCCCCACCCCACCTACTCATTTGTTGATTTTCGTGTTACAATTTTGGAAAATGGAAAATGGGCTACAGGGTACCTGTTTCCCCTGCCCCCCTGTCCCCCCTCCCCTGCCCCCCCCCCCATGTCCCCCCTGCCCGCCCTCATGTTTTGACCTCGCAAGAAGCCTGGTGTACACTGCACGATACTTTCCGATTTCTGCCATTTCCAAATATTGTTCGATGATTCGTTCCCAGCACGAATATTCTAAGTGTTTCGATTGTTCGATTATTCCTTTCCACACTAGTATTCATACTTCGACAACAGAAGGTCCATTTACCTCACAATACCAAGGTAAAGGTGGGATACGCCGCCGAAGGCTGCGCACACACAGTTCCTATCTCCCGCACCCATATCTCTATCTTTGATTAGATGTACTGTTAATTGAATGCACTTTTTTTGATTCAATGTTTACATGCGGATACAGTCAACTCCTGATAAACCAAACACCAGTGGCCAGGAAAATAGCTCTTTATAACACAGAGAGAATAACGAGCAAATGACCAATAAGTTACTAGTTAAGATTAACAGTCCACCAAGACGAACTTAGACGAACTTAGTCCACCAAGGTAACGAGATAATATACAGTCAGATAGTGCGACAACGAGGCAAAAAAACTGACAAGGATGTTGAGACATTTGACTACCTGACACCTAGGTCCAACAACCTTCCAACTGGGAAGGCTCATGTGAGGAAAGTTCCAATGAGGAACATATTACTATTGGCTCAACATCCGAGTTTTTAGAATAACGAGCGGTTGCTTTCCATAACTCTGAGTTTCACGAACTGAGTCGATTATCAGACGAAAATTGAACATTTTTTTAGAACACGGAGGCTACAGAGCCAGTTTCATTTCATTATTATTTTACTCCCTGATGAAGCCCCAAGGGCGAAAATTTGGAGATTTCATTTCTTTTCAATAGAATTTGCAGCGTCAACGACCTTGGTGTGGTGGAGGTGGTGACTGATCGTGATACAAATTGAACAATGTTCCAAAATAAACTGAGCCCTCTACGGACGGTGAATGAACTTTACATGGTAGATCTTTATAACCAAAGTTCTTTATAACCAAAGTTCTTTATAACCAAAGTTCTTTATAATCTATAGAAAAGAAAAAGGACCAAGGCACTACAAGTTACGCTATAATGTCCACTAACACCACCAATTACTAAACAATCAGCTCATGCGATAACATTGCACGGCTGTTGGATTGCACATCCAAGATGTGCTAGAGCTGTTAGCCCATTAGTTGTAGAACATCAGTACCGTCGGTCAGTGTCGTGCAATGTTATCGCATGAGCTGATTGTTTAGTAACTGGTGGTGTTAGTGGACATTATAGCGTAACTTGTAGTTACTTGGTCTTTTTTTCTTTTCTATAAATTTATCCTTGGCTCTCCATCCGAGTCTATTCTTTATAACCAAGGTTCTTTTTTCACAGAGCGGCACCCACACCATGCAAGCAACATGTCATGGTGGCCCGTGGCTGCATGAGTTCACTTGGTATGGTCGACAGCAAACATGAGAACGACACTGGCACCAATGCTGCTGCTGCTGCTGCTGCTCCACAAACACTATCGCAACTAAAGCACTTAAAAAAGCAGTATAACAACAGCACTGACAAAAAACAGTGCCGAAAATGCGATAATAATGCAGACATCCATCCTGCGTGGAGAAAGTGTCTGCTCCGAAAGTCGGAGCTCGCGCTTCCTGCTGACTGACTTGACACTTGACTGACTCCCGACTGCCATCCAGAGCACACGAGAAGCCCGTCGAACCTCCACTTGGCAAACCTGCAAGAAAGCACCGCTCTCTGCTCAATACACAGTGTTTCGGGGAATTCACCAATCGTCAGTTGAGCTTGAGTAGGCTAATGAAATTTCTGCTCCGAGAGCACTGCATTATGTAGTGCTCTCTGAGCCAAAAACATCACCAGGGATACCAACTTACAGCGACGCTCCGCTTCCAGCGCAACAAACACCTCGTGAGCACCAGGCAGCAGCGCGAGTCAGTGTCGCACATCGAATGTCGCAACATCTTTCATTCAGCGTGGAGTTGTAAATACTTGACTCCCGCCTGGAATTCCCGATCCCAGCAGTGTTGTTCCGTACTGACTGGATCATCGAAATCCAAACGTGTACCCTTTTACTAATGGTCCCTGAGAGTAACGGGCTGGTACCCGGGTACCCTAAACATCCCCTTCACCCCTAAAAGACACAGCAAAAAAACACCACAAAATACAACACTGCTGTCCTTACCTTCAGTTATCCGCTCTCATCATCTACTTGCCGCTGTCCAGTGTGCTGTGTGTACGCTGACGGAAATGGATGTGCTTACAATGCGCTTCAACCTGTGTACGAACTGTTAATGGTCACACACAGTCAAGTGACGTACGTAGTAACACCAGGCAAGGTCCAGGCAATCCTCCACTAGAGGTTATCATCCTCTACTAGCTGTCTTGCACTAATGAAGACTGAAACTGGCCTGCAAAAAGAAGCAACACATAGATGAACCCAACGGAATTGAACAGTGATGACCCCGCTACCATGTTTAGTGGAGCTCGACACGTAAAAAAACATCACATCTACACATACACACGAACACACACCCGCGTGCGCTTGCAGGACCGACATACCGTCTATACTGACGACATCAGAATTTACACATCAAGCCACTGCCTTACCACCATGCAGAATAGACTTGCGGAAAGTCATGTTGCAGTACAAGGTGCCACAGAACCAGGTCTCTTGCTGAACCCTGATGAGATCCAGCGTCTAATTGTGCACTGCAAGACAGCCGACATCCCTCCCAACCTGACCGATCCTTGTACCACCTCTGTATCCCCTGGCCCCTACATGAGCTACCTGGGCATACTCGTTAATCAGCATCTTGGCTGTGAACAGCGTGCTAACAAAGTGTTCAAGGATGCAAACCGAATGCTCGCTATTTCAAGGTACGGTTTCTATGCTTTACCCTACCTGGCTGCAGACAGATGGTACTCTCTTCCACCTGAATATCACCAGGCAGCTTCCCTTGCAATATTTACCAGAATCTTACATGAACACCAAAGGACCTGGTAACTTGTTGCAAGATGATAAGACTGTGAGGACTGCCCTGTTACAACAATATAATACTGGACACAATATCTCTATTCCCGTAGCTATGCTAAATGGTTTCTAACAACCGAGATAGGTCACAACGAGTAGATCGACTCACCATATCTAAAAGATACAGTATGGCAACTTCAAGCACGCACAACTGACCAAACACGCCACCTGCAAACAGCAAACGGGTTCTCGGTTACGATGTTGTCAGGGCAAATGCAAAAGGGGTACAAATGTGGAGGTCCAGTGGATTCAATAGGGAGCTAACCAAGGCAAGTTGGCCTGACAACTTCAAATATCAGTTAGGCACAATTGATATAACACGGCACCCAGAAACATCAATACGGTACACTATTACAGGATTGCTATCGTTAATGGGCCACTGAGCATGCAATCTAGTGACCAGGCTGTGGCACCTGCTGTAGCACTAGCCAGATGTTCACACTGTAGCACTATAGCCAGGCTGTGGCACTATAGCCAGGCTGTGTCACTATAGCCAGGCTGTGGCACTATAGCCAGGCTGTGGCACTATAGCCAGGCTGTAGCACTATAGCCAGGCTGTGGCACTATACCCAGGCTGTAGCACTATAGCCAGGCTGTGGCACTATAGCCAGGCTGTAGCACTATAGCCAGACTGTAACACTATAGCCAGGCTGTGTCACTATAGCCAGGCTGTGGCACTATAGCCAGGCTCTGGCACTATAGCCAGGCTGTGGCACTATAGCCAGGCTGTGGCACTATAGCCAGGCTGTGGCACTATAGCCAGGCTGTGGCACTATGGCCAGGCTGCCAGAAAAAGTACCGAATTCTGCCAATTGTTCTGCCGGCAGAATCCGCAGGAGCCTATATCCCGTGCGTGGACTTTCAAACAACTACTTTACACGTCACCTATCAACATAACAGATCATAACAGATAACCCATGCTCACAAGCAAAGATCTACTGATGTGGAAACGGAAATCCGGTCGCACGTCTAGCGGCCCCAGGGCGCTGGCCATGCAGCCGTGGATAAGCGGTACACACACATGCAGTTATCATGTTAGCCCACATCCCACATGCACATGCAGATGATACACCGCTATGAAGTACACCAACACACAGGGCACAGAGTTTGGAGTTATACAGTCCAGTGATGTGGATGACATCAACCAACGCTGTACACTGCTGCTCAATGTAAGCGTCAGGCGTGTCATTGACTGGCTAGATCGAATTTCACTGAACAGGACTGACTGTACTTTCATGTATGTAAACCCGTCTATGATTGAAGGTCTTACCGGCAATATTATGAGGCAGAACAGGCGGCTTTTTCTTTGCATCCCAGGCCAGGGATCCCGTCAACAATCTTCATCATTCCTTGGTCGAGAAACTCCTGCGTCTTTCGCCCACCGGTTCCGGGTCGGTGGGTAAGGTCCCCGTCCGCACAGGCGTCTCCGCACCTCCCAGCCATCAGCTGGCATTGCCGCGGTGTGTGCTACTGCCTACAGGCTACTCTGGCGCTGGAGGGGTGGACCGATCGACCGTGGACGTGACTGCCATGGGTGTGCTCCTCTGACCAGTGCGGGCGCGGTCGCTGCTTCCGCTGCGGCAACGGCCGACCGTGACTGGATTGAGGTTGGCGACCAAGTCGTCTATAACAGTACCAGTACTGTACTTCGAAGTAACAGCTCTTGAGCAGTCCGCCAGAGCGCCTCCTGACGAGGGTCCAATGGCCTCTACCATGGCTTCGATAGCTCGTCAAAGATTACTGTTGCTTGGGGTAATGGCCATCTCGAAAGCGTCGAATATCGCTCCCTGTGGCAAAATCCTTGCCGGGAATTCGTCTGTCCAGCTAGCTAGCTGCTCTGTAAATGGCGTACCCCACCTGGACCATTTCCCCTCGTTTTGATGCTTCCTTTCCTAGCTCGGTAGAGTCACGGTGAAATATATTCTACATTTTGCAACGAGCGAACCACACTCAGCATGCACTCGACCTCTTTTCGTTCGTCCCTAGCCCTAGGGCCCTACTTTGTAGCCGCTCTACGTAGGCGCAGGGGGCCGCCGATTTTTTGGTTGATAGTTTAGGCCTCGAACGTGAGAAGAAGACGACTGCGTTCGAGCTAGCGAGAGTGTGGAGAGTTTACGCTGGATCATGGACGTAGATCTACTGCATTTACCTGTCCCCGGGGAAAATTGCGGAAAAAAATCGCAAAAAACGCGGGGAAAAACGCGGCATAATATGGCATAATTTGCGGTGAATTTGCGGTAAATATGCGGTAAATATGCGGTGAATGCGACAATTTTCAGTGAGTATGTAGTGAAATTAATCAGTTACAAGTCTCTGGTGTATAAAGCACCCATTATTTGAGTAAAAAGCCGCCACGATGAGACGTTGCTGACCGAAAAGTGCACTGTGTGTACGTGTAGTGCAACAAAAAGTTCAAAAAACGCGGGAAAATCGCGGAAAACGCGGTCTTTTAAAAAATCGCAAAAAAACGCGGAAAAAAACGCGGCCGCGGAATCGCAATTTTCCCCGGGGACAGATTTACGTGAGTTTTTAGGAGTAGATCTACGAGTATGTGTCAGAATGTTTGGCTCGCGATCAAACATTGACATGCTCACTCTTTGAGTCATTCGCTTTCATATCCTTGTACTAAAAAGAAAGAAAAGAATGACGTGTCAGGTAAATCTAATATTGACTTCGTACTAGGTCAATATAGGAAATACAAGCCGATAATAAGAGCGAGGTACTAGGTTGTAGGACTTTTACGAGGTTTTAGATTTAGAGTAGCCAAAGCATGTATTGAATCCCTAAAAAGTCTGGTGTCAAATATAAGCACTGAAAGTATACGTAATCAATCCAGCCCATGCCTAGTGAGATATGCAGGAATATTTGACTTCCATAGCGCAATCAGGAGTGCTAATTGTGCCGTAACCATGCTTTGTAACAATAGTAACGAACACGAGAGCGAAATGTGAATCTGAAATGTACATATAAAAGAAGAGAAAGTTTTCAGAACCGCTTTCTCGTTACGATCGTCATGTCAGTGAACGTACGTAACTATGGATGGAAAATAATAATTAAGTCAAACACATAAATTACAATTGTACAAGTGAGACTCGGATAGAGAGCCAAGGATTATACATGTATTTAAGAGACAATACCAAATTGTTACATGTTATCCGTGATAGAGCTTATCATCAGGTCGTTGAATGTCAGCATTATATCAGTCAGTATTGTGCTTGCTGTTGCTCCCCAGTCTGACGTCACAACATCTTGCTTACATGCATAACTGGTAGTGTTGGACACAAAACTACGAACAACGTGTAACACTTTGGTCCTTTCCTTTAACTAAACATACTTACTACAAGTATGTGAAGAAGAGGTTGGTGCGACTTCCACGATAGTTGGGGCAGTGTGTGTTATTGGAGGTCGCGGTTTTCCTGCCGACTTGAATTCTCACTTGACTGACTCACGACTGCCATCCAGAGCACACGAGAAGTCCATCGAACCGTCCACTGGGCAAACCTGCAAGCAAGCACCACTCCCTGCTCAATACACAGTGTTTCGGGGAATTCACACCTCATCAGTTGAGCCTGAGTAGGCTGAGGAAGATTGTGCCTGAAAAGCACCACTTACATTGTATAGTGCTCTCCAGTCACACACATCACCAGGGATACAAACTACTTACAGAGACGCTCCGTTTCCAGCGCGACAAACACACACCTCGTGTACACCAGATAGCAGTGTGAGTCAGTGTCGCTCATGGAGGTGCTGAACAAGCGCTGAGGACCGTTGGCCATTCACAACGTTGTTGCCTCCAAACCATATAATTCGCAAGCCCGCGCTGGGGACAACAATGTGAAGAAGAGGTTTGTTTGACTTCGGCGATAGTTGGGGAAGTGTGTTTTGCTCCCTAAATGGGAGCTCGCGGTTTTCCTGCTGACTTGAATTCTCACTTGACTGACCCACGACTGCCATCCAGAGCACACGAGAAGTCCATCGAACCGTCCACTGGGCAAACCTGCAAGCAAGCACCACTCCCTGCTCAATACCAGTGTTGGTACGACCAAGTCACCCCACAGATCTCCACTAGTAACTTGCTCAGTTTAGACCAAGACATGAATAACCTTGGGTAGTAGTAAACCTAGGTGCTGTTGTGCACATGTCTGTACTGTTTCCTGGCCCTCAGTTACCTCAGCCTGCTCATGACTACTGTATGTTGTGTCTTGTTGATGTCCCTATTCATAACTGCTGCATGCATTCATTGCTAGTTCCATGCATAGTTCTTTGTCCTACTGTGGCGGGAAGGTCGTCTCGTGCAGCCGCAATGATCAGCTGCGCTATGGAGGTTCAGTTCCGGCAAACATGCGTGTGGATTTGCATTTTGCTGCTTGATTTTGATGTATTTGGGGGCAGTGCAAGGAAAGAGCTTGCTGGTGCAGTTGTTGTGTGCTTTGTCTTTGGCTGTTTCTGTTACTACCAGGTAGTAGCTAGCCTTTTGAAGTATTGCAATCAGTTTGCAATGGATACAGTCTTCTCCTAGTGATAATATTCTATAAACCTCAGACTCTGTGTTGTGAGTGAGAATACCGGCGCAAACATTGGTCCTTCGAGCCGGATCGCGAATGGCGGAGGAACAAAGAACGAGTGCTCGTTCAACCAAGGGAGTTGCTCCCAGGCGACTGGGGTTTGAGGACGAAGAGAGTGCGACCAGTCCAAGAACCAGCTTCAACAGGCAGACACCGTCGCTCGCATCAAGCTGCACGTCAGGAAGTGCGCCATCAGTGATGGAAGCAAGGTGCGCCCTGCTAGAAGCGAGAAAGAGGGTCGCAGAGGCGGAGGCTGAACTGGCCAGCTTGAATCTCGAGAGGGCGTCCAGACGCTCTGGCACACCGAAGTCTTCATCGCCCGCGATGAGAGAGGAAGTGTTCGAGGAAGAGCGACGATCTGAAATGCAAGCGCCCACAGCTGCAAATGGCAGCGATGAGGTGAGCGTGTTGTACCCTGCTAAATCCGTACAGTCAGGGCAAACTAGTGACCCGGACTTGATAGACCTGAGTGCAGATAGTGTCTGCGACCCACGTACAGTCAAGTCCCGTTCTACAAGCGGTAGGACAGTAGAGCGACTTCAAGGAGTTGGCAAAAACTCAGTTTTAGTGTCAGACTCAGTACGTACCGGTACACCGCGCACGGAGCAGGTAGAGCAAGGTACTAGTGCCTCTTCACACATTCCGTACAGCATGGCAGAACGCGCAGATGCCACACCGCTAGCTCTAGCGCCATCAGCGCTCCAAGCACTGCAGGGTAGTCCTGAACCTGTGAATCTCCCTGAGCAGTCAGCTATAACCGCACACAATGCACAGTCACAGGCCAACGAAGACGCACTCAGTCACGCACACCGGATGATTGATTGCCTGCAGCAAAGTTTACAACAGTCCGCTGACGAAAGTCATGAGAAGGATCTTGTCGTGCAACACCTTCAGTCTGAATTGCGGCGAACACGTCGCGAGCTAGACCTCCACAAGAGCACAGCTCAAGCTGAGAACAGCGACCTGTATGATTGCAACACCGAACTGCGGGCTGAACTCGACAAGATGAAGCGCGTATCGGAGCAGCGCAAGGTAGAGTTCGAGGCGATGGCCTGCCAGAGACAGCGGTCACGCGAAGAACTCCAGGAGATCGAGGAGCAGGCTGCGCGCGCGGAGGGTGACAAGGATCACCTACGTGAGCTCCTGAGTCAAGCCAGGCAATCTGCGGAGCAGCAGCAAAGGAAAGCTGACCAGTGGCGCCAGCTGTTCCTAGAGGAATGCGCAGCGCGAGGTAGCCCTGCAGACCGGGCAGTCGAACAGAGACGTGATACCGTGACTGACACGAGTAGTCCTGGTAACGATGCTCGATTCCACGCCGTCCACGAGTACGAGCCTCGACCTGCAGAACTCAGGGGAGCGAGGTCTGTGGACAAGTCATCGTCATACCACCGCCGGACTCCAGCTGAGTACCACCAACCCGTCCCGAAAGATACTGAGGATGTGGAGTCCCTTGGCGACAAGGCTGAGCCGACACAACACCTGCCGCCCGCAGCACGCGCTAGGGACCAGCCAATCGCAGATGAAGAGCACACCCCGGCCCAGGCCGCTCAGACTTCAGTGGTGACAGCTGTCAGCCAGCTTGCGGAAGCCTTGGCCGGACACCTGACGACAGCCACGCAGAGACATGGCTCCCAAGATACTGGCAGCGACCTTCACAAGATAGTCGCCCGACAGTCCACCGCAAAGGACCTCCCAGAGTTTAACGGCGACCCGGCGTCCTGGCCGATGTTCCGCCATATGTTCACGTCATCGACGAGTGAATGCAAATTCTCCAATGCGGAGAATATGGCCAGGCTACAGAAAGCCCTCAAAGGGAAGGCTAAGGACACCGTCAAAGCCATGCTTATCGTACCTGATAACGTCGATCGTGTCATGCAGACTCTGGAAATGCGGTTCGGGCAGCCAGAGCAGGTGATACAGACCATAATTGACGGCGTCAAGAAACTGAAGCCAGCTGGAGAAGAGGACTTCGAGGCCCTCATCGACACGGCAAATGCGGTCGGCAACCTCGTCGCAACAATGCAGCTCATGAACGAT